TTCTTAATAAAAGGGTTGAACATCTAAAGTAGCCACAGGGATTCTTGGCATCTGTCAGAGGCGGAGATCCACATGGCAGACTGAGAGTCATAAAATCTTTGTTTTAGTTTGGACTCGTTTTAAAAACTGGAATGAAATTAATTTTTTTCTTACGTAGTCATAGAGATCTCCTCTTATGGGGTGGAAATGCTACCAGGGTATGACATCCAGGGAAAATGACTCTCAGAGGCTTATTTTCATGCTTTGTGGAAGAGTCCATGGTAGGGGGCCCTCTTAGCTTTGACCTGAGTGTTCCTGGGTCCTCCTTTTGAAGGTAAAGCCCTACATCTACTGCTTGTTCTTACTGATGAGTTTCAGACTTTTTATTTTGCATTGTGGTCTGCAGATGTGGTTTCAAAACGTGCCTTCGCATGCAAATATCCATCCCTGCCATCTCATGGAAGCAGATCCTGTCTTCCAGAAGTGCCAGTGTCTGTCCAAAACTTGAGATCCAAAGGGTGTAGCTTTTTTGGTTTGTGGCCTCATCTCTCAGCGTCTCATTACCGTAACACACAAGAAGCTGAGTGGTCTGGTGAAAGGGGAAGGAGGCAGCACCTCTGACACTGGGTTTATTTTAGACACGTTTGGGTGGATGTCAACCGAAGTGCTGGGTGTGGTGATCCCCACTTGCTGGAGGACGCTCACGCATTGATTAGAGACTGGACACTGCTTCCAAAAGCCCCAGTCCAAACTGCAAAGCAAGCTAGCAGAAAACTTCACATTAAACAAAACCCGACCTCCAAGGTTTAGCAAGAGGTGAGTCTTCCAATGAAGCAAGTTCAGTCCTTAGAGCTAGAACGCATCCAAAGTAAAAATCGTAACATTTTTTCTGGGTCTCTTTATACAAAACTTGAGTCTCTTATAATATGACCATGTGTTCAAGACACATAAAAAAGTGTGAAAGACACTTACAGCAAGGATGGAGACCCTGGTGCATTCCCCCTTTTTCTTTGCACGGACTCTGATTCTTACCAAGGAAAGGATTTTTTTTTTTTTATTCTAAACTGGGAATGGTCAACCACCCAAAGGGTGTTTATATTGCAAGACAGAGACCTCAGTAATGAGTAACATGTTTCTTCTGATTGCACTCAGATGCCCAGGAAAGCACAGTGGACATTCCCTCTTCTCACAGACAGAAACTCCTTGACTATACATTTTATCTGTTTCTAACACTGACCCAGTTTTTAAATTAAAAATTGATGTGTGTGTGTGTGTGTGTGTGTGTGTGTGTGTGAGTGAGCACATGCCTGCTTGTGCCACCATGTGGGTGGAGCTCAGCGGGCAACTTTCCAAAGTGGCTTCTTACCTTCCACCGTGTGGGTCTCAGGGATTGAAATCAGGCCATCAATTTTGTCAGCCAGAGTCTTTACCTGCTGAGCCATCTTGATGACCCTGGGTCCAGGTTTTGATACACAAGCATTGACTTTTCTAATTTATTGTCTTAAAATACACCAAAGCAGATTAAAGTTCTGAAGGGGGAAGCCTGGGAGCCACGTGTTTTCTGTGTGTCTTTGGTGTCAATATTTAGAATTCCGATGTCAGTTATTTAGAACTTCAATGCGTGAGCCACATGCCTGTTGTATCCATAAACTAATTATTATCACACTTCCACCCCCAGGACACATGGCCTTCTTAGTAAGAAATTGCTGCCATAGTTATGGCAACATGGGGACACTGATCACTTATTAGAAACTAATATAAGACCAGAGTTTCCATGGGGATCTTAGAGCTGTAATACAGAGAAATCTTCCAGGAATTCTGGATGTCAGAGAACTTCTGTTTACACACCTATGATCTTGGTTGTATACCAGAGTATCCTTGTCCTTACTACATACCGAATATATACCATTGACCAAGGATACACATAAATGTCAGCTAGGCACAAACCAGACGCTTACCTGAAATGTATTTAATTCATCCTGACCAGGGTTATGATAATCTCTGCCCACTGAAGGTGTGCCCAGTGAGACAATCTAACCTATGCAGGGCCAAGCCAAACTTCTTTGGAGTAAACCACGTCCCCGAGGGGATAGATTAGGGATCAACATTTCCAGGCTATCAAATTGCCTATGATATGGATTTTGAGACTAGAAAAGTCCCATTTTGTTGTTATATGTGTGTTTATGTTTGTGTATACACACACACACACACACACACACACACACACACACGATTGCAGGTGGAGGACAAAGGCTGAAGTTGGGTGTCTTTCGATATTACTCTCCATTTCTCTGTGGTTTTTTTTTTTTTTTTTTGTCTCTCAATTGGATCTGGAGCTCATTGATTGGCTGGCGGAACTGACCAGATGGAGAGCTCCAGGGATCCTCCTGTCTCTCTGCACCAAGCCCAGCTTTTTGTTTTGGGTGCCGAGGCGAAACTCCCGCATCCTTGTGCTTGTGTGCCCGGTATTTGAATGACTGAACCACCTCCACATTTCCCTTGTGTATGTTTTTAAGAAATGATAGAAAGAAGATAAAGGATCTTTGAAAGAATGACCGAAGGGTTTAGCCTGGTCAATGGACCCTGGAGGACGATCCCGCACTTCCCGAGGTTGAGGCAGGAGGATCTTCAGCGCAAGGCCACACACTGGGTTATGTAGGGAGATGATCTCAAAACAACCGTGGCAGGGGAAAAAAAAAAAGAGGAAGAGGGGAGAGGAGGAAGACAGAGGGAAAAAGGCAGGATGGATGGGTATTGGAGTTTGCTCTAAGAGTGTGGCAAGCAGATTACCTCAGCTACAAGTAGCGCCTGGGAATTAAGGCAAAGAGCAACGGACATAGGTAGCCCAGTCCTTGTGAACGGAGCCAGTGTGGAGGTGCTATTATCGGGTGGGAAGCTAAAGGAGGCAACTTGCTAGTTTTTAGGGACATGGAGGCAGGCGGCAGTGCCGTGTGCTGCATGGGGAATGCAGAGAAGGAAGAAAGGCAGGTAAGAAAGAGGTAAGAGCCATGTGACCACACAATTTAAGTTAAGGGCTCTCTGAATCCAACACTTTAACTTGGGCCGATGCTCAAGGCCAGAATAGGTAACAACTCCACCTGAGGCTTGCTCCTTGGCGTGGAAGTGTGTCAAACAATGTGAAGTCTTAGGCCTTCCCGGCCCTACTGAAGCAGAACCTAGGAAGAGCCCCCGAGATTTATAAATAAAGCCGCAGAGAAGGCTGTCCTTGGGAACTCAGTGACTTGAATCAAGTTTAGCAACTGCTAAACCTGGAAAGCGACCTCCTGCACTGAATAATGTTTGTCTCCACAAGGGTCTGTAAAGAGAGGGGTGCAATCCATGCGGTGCTCTAGTGAAGCTCTTCAATGGTGAGATTCTGTTTCTTCTATAACATGGAGAAAAGGAGGAGGGAGTAAGGAGGAAAGAGGGGGAGGGGAGGAAGGAAGGAAGGAAGGAAGGAATGGAGGGTGAGCAGAGGGTGTGAACCAGGGAGACAGGGAGAGAGGGAGACAGGGAGGGAGACAGGGAGGAAGGGAGGGGCAGAGGGAGGGAGGGACAGAGGAAGGGAGGGACAGAGGGAGGGAGGGACAGAGGGAGGGAGGGAGGAGGAGGGGAGGGAGAGAGGGAGGGAGGAGAGATTCCATACTGTGCACACCTGCTTCAGCAGTTTTTTTGAAAAGGAATCAAAAGTCCCCCTTTCCCACGTTAAGATGAGTTTCTTTTTAAGGAAGGAGTGTGGATAATGGTTACAAATTTCCAAATATTGTTTTCCAAAACAAAAAGATGCTATAAAAACATCACAGCAAGAAGTTAGTTTTGTTCATTTTTGTTTTCATCAGGCCCCACTGGGCAGGCATTCCAGCAGGTCCTGCTCTGTGCCCTGCACGCCATAGGAGTTCAAGTCAAAGCCCAGGGCAGGTGGAGTGGAGTGATACCCGCAAACGGTATCTGCAGTATCTGCGTGTTAGCTAGTTCAGGGAAACACACTGCCTCTGGGTGATGCAGCTCAACACAGCAGGCATTTCATGCCACTCGGTTTCTGCGGTGAGGGGAAATCTAGATTTGACTTACCTGGCTGCCCATGGCTTAACGTCTTTGTAAGGTTGTCATCAAGGAGTCTCATTTGAAGGCTGAGCCTGGTGGTCGTTGGAAGAGAGCTCCACCTGCCCGTGGGAAGGTTTGGGAGCCCTCGGCTTTTTGCTTTTAAAATAAGTCAGTAATTCCAGTCCTTATTTCAGGGGAAGGGAAAGGCACAGGGTGTGGGCACTTTGTAGGGGTCGTGAGTGGTGTATGAAAGGCCACAGAATACACTGTGCTATTTCTATATCCTCCTTCGTTTCTGCTCCTGTCAGTGGGCTGGAGTTGCTCGTTCCATTCTACCATGTGGGTCCCATGGCTGAACTTGTCACTTGCCTGTTTGTTCATTCCACTCTTATAGTTGAGGGGCTTCTGTCACCCATGATGGTTGACTCCTGCAAGTTGCTGTCTCACCACCACATGCCCTACACACACACACACACACACACACTCACACACACACACATTTACATACTCACACATACATTCACACACTCACTCACACATATGTACATACACACATATACACACGCACGCACACACACACATGCACACATGCACGCATTCACACACTCACACATACATTCACACACTCACTCACACATGTACATACACACATGCATACACGCATGCACACACACACGCATGCATACATTCACATACTCATACATACATTCACACACTCACACATGTGTACACACATGCACGCACACACACGCATGCACGCATACATTCACATACATATACATACATTCACACACTCACTCACATATGTACATACATGCACACACATTAAATGTAGTGAAAACAGGCATTAACAATCTGAGTGAGCATGGGTCTCCAAGATCTTGGCCCTTTGGAATATGTGGCTTTTACTGGTCCTGCCTCAGAACCTGATTTAATCCCTTTACCTACACTGCCTGCCCCCAATCTCCTCTGCACAGGCTGAGCTAGATGCTGTCCTGGAAGTCTCTGTGCTGCTGTCTGCTTCCACCAGAACCCTGTGAGCAACCTCCGTGCCTGGATCAGGACCTGGTACGTGAGACTATCACAAAATATTTGTTGGTTGAAGAAATAAATGTGAAAGGGAAGTTGTGCTTAGCTTTAGGTAAACCTACCGTTTCTCCCAGTTCATGAAAACTGGCCATGTGACAAAACCTCCAGCTAATGGATTTTTCTGGCCTGATTTTGGGGTTAATGGCCTGAAACTAGAAGTCACTGCCATATCAAGTCCACCTAAAGGCCAGGTCCAGGCTGACTTTGGCTTTGTAACCTAACCCCAAGTTGCCGCGGGACACTGGGTGTTTTCATTCCTGTTGCCTTTGCGTGTCCCGTCCCATCTGTAGAGGGTCTTTAGCAGAGGAGAAGCCATGCAGGGAGATCCAACCCTCCAGAAAGCCTCATCCAGGAAGGAACTCTTGCCCCTTCCTCCCCTCACACCCATCGTTCTGCCTGCTGGGGGCAACCAGCCAGCTACTGTGATGGGATGGCCTCCCACGGAGCTGAGCGATTGCCACGAGCCTGCAATTATGATGGGTTTTGGAAAGGCTCTGTGTGGCAGGGAGCAAGATCTTGAGTTTCCAGGAATTAATTCAGGGTGAAGCCTGGGGAGCATGCGCATTCTAGATTTTAGAACACACGCGCCTTATTCGTTAGACTGTTTAGCATAAATACATCCTAAGCAGGAGCTAAGGAGCTGTTCAGTCAGGCCCCCGGCTTTTGCCCCCAAAGAACGGTGCACTGCGAAGCTTCCAGAGAGCGGAGAGTGAGCTGCGGCTGCTCTCAGTTTCTCAAGCAGGAAGCTGTGGGGAAGATGTCTTTGCAGGGTTGCAGTCAGAGCCAGCGGAGGGGGATTGAGGACTAAAGCAGACTAGCTAAAGGAGTTAAAAGGAAAAGAGGGAGACACAGAATCGATGTCAGGAGGGCAGATTCAACTTCTAGTTACCTGGGCTTGAGTGAGGGTCAGGAGTAACCACGCCTCAGACCAGATCTGTTGTTAGATAAAGACACCCAAGGTCAAGATCCTGCCTTTAACCTTACAGTTTTAAACTCTGTGCTTAAGCCAAAATGGAGTGGAGTCATCTTTATGGGCACAGACAGGAAGCTCAACTGTTAGATGTGAGGGTGAAATAGAAACAAATGAACAAACTTCTGTCTCTATTTCAGTAGAAATTGAATTTGAGGATGTGTGTTTTATAGCAGGCAGGAGTCGTGATCCACTTCTAATTCCAGTGCGCTGGAGGCATTAACAGGATCCCCTGGAGCAAGATGACTACCTAGGCTAGCTGAAGGGTTCACGTGAGAGATCCTGCCTTGACACTTAAGGTGACGAATGACTGAGGACAACACCTAGAGTCAGCTTCTGGCTTCCTCATGTGTGTACTCCCCCAGACGTGCACCTGCACACACCAGAGCACCAATATGCATGCATATACACACCACAGGTGTACATGGACACCCTGACATCAGATGGAGGCAGGCCTCTTTGAAAACATTTCCTCCAAGGCACGGACTTGGAAATTTACCTCCCGAGATCAGTAATGAGTTGGAGAAGCATGTAGTGGTCTCTGCTCGTTCCTTATCAAGAGGCAAAAGGTGTCTCCTTGTTCTCAGCAAGGTCTTGAGAGGCAGGTCTGCCGCTGTCACCTGGGATTCCGCATCTGCATATGACTTCCCTCGGTTTGGTCTGGGGGTGCAAGGTCCTGGAGCTGGTATATTCTTGGGAGACTCTGCTTAAATGAATGACAGATCAACCCTAGGCACCTTCTCTGGCTGTGACATCGGGACTGGCAATGGAATGACAAGGTTATGAGAATGGACATGGACCTCACACAGTGTCTTTAAAGCACTTCCGCACTGGATGCTACCAAGTCACTCCGCTGGTCATTTACAAATGCCAGAGCATTTATGTGGAACTTCCTCTTTAAGAGTCCAGACATTTGAACCCAAAGGTCAAATTCCAAAATCTTACCATCAACGTTGCAGGGAGCCTCATTTGCAAACCGAGGAGTAGAAGCTGAAAAGTATACAATATGTCTATGGTAGATGTGATGGGAGATCGGGACAAGCATGCAGCTTCCTTTTCCGAGGTGTCTGATGCCCATGGGTTGGAATAACAGAAATGCCTGCGGGACAGCTTTGGCTTTGAGATTAAATTTAATCTTGCACGGAGATTACGTCGCACGATGTGCCAACAACATTGGTGTGATTCTGTTTACCAGATTCCAGAAGAATGTGTTGATTCAGCAAAATTGATCTTCCAGTCCAGTCACTATCATTTAGCCAAAACGGCATGTTGGAGGCTCCAGTCTCTCTGTCTCTCATGGGCTCTCTTGGTGGCATGCCCTGCCCAGCTCATGATCTTACACCTGACAGACTATGTCTATCCCCCAGAGCTGATTGGTTTTTTGTTTTGTTTTGTTTTTCAAGACAGGGTTTCTCTGTATTGTTTTGGAGGCTGTCTTGGAATTCGCTTTGTAGACCAGGGGGGCCTTGAACTCACAGAGATCCACCTGCCTCTGCCTCTCCCCAAGTGCTGGGATTAAAGGCGTGTACCACCAACGCCCGGCTGTTTTTTCTTTATAGAGATGGAATGGATAAGCATAATAAAGACTTGCTGTCATGAATGCACTCATGTGCACGTGTGTGTGTGTGTGTGTGTGTGTGTGTGTGTGTATGTGCGTGAGTGCGAGTGCGCGCGCATTCCTGGTAGTGGATATCCAGTGTCCAGCTCCATCACCCTGTGCCTTATTCCCTTGAGACAGGGTCTCTTAATGAACCTGGAACTAGGCCGGCAGGCAGTAAGCCCAGAGAGCCTCCTGCCTCTATCCCAACACAAAACTGCCGTTGAGAAAGAGCAAGATGTCCCCTCCCCACTTGCCGGGCTTACGAGCTCTCCAGTTGTAATACCCTTCCATCATGCTGTGCACTGCCAGGAATCACCAAAGGCTGAATAAATGAGGCAGTCTAGCCTTGGACTTTCAGCATCCAAAACTGTGAGTTCAACGTGTCTGTCTGTGTTCTTCCAGCTTTAGGTATTTTATAATAACCGAACTGCATCCCCAGTTGTTGTGTATAGCCATGTTGTCTTCAAGTGTCTTTCTTTTATTCTTTCTGTGTGCTTTAAGGATTTGGGAAACAGACTTGGAAGTTCATCAATAAAAATCTCAGGTTTCAATATTTGGTTCGGATGCGTGCTGAATTTATGACCTTCGGTTTAATTACTGGTTTGTTTTTCCTTGTTTATGGGAGCACTGGGGAGTCAGATAAGCAGGTGTCTTACCACTGGGCTACAGCACCAATCACTGGAAACTCTTAAGCCCCATTATTATTATTATTATTATTTTAATTTTCAAAATAGGAACAAAGAACTCACTTCTGGGGTTACTGGGAAAATGAAGGTATTTTTGGTCATTCTTTTAAAAAAGAAGCTATGCTTGGTGAAGTATGTCTCTCAATTGTAGAACCCTTGCCTGGCATGTGTAAAACCCTGGGCTCCATCCTCGATGCTATAAGACTGTATATATTGGGGAGTGATGGCTCGCTGGTCAGGAGCTCCAACTGTTCTTACAGAGGACCTGGATTCAGTTCCCCACACCCATTTGGTAGCTCACAAGCATCCTTAACTGCAAGTCTCACTCTGTAGCCTTGGCTGGCCTGGATCTCATGGAACTCTGCCTGCCTCTGCCACCTGAATGCCAGCATTAAAGGTGTGCACTACCCTGCCCTGCCAGAAAACATTTTTTTTTTTTGAGATAGGGTTTCTCTGTATTGTTTTGGAACCTGTCCTGGAACTTGCTCTTGTAGACCAGGCTGGTCTCGAACTCACAGAGATCCACCTGCCTCTGCCTCCTGAGTGCTGGGATTAAAGGCATGTGCCACCACCGCCCGGCCAGAAAACATATTTTTAAAAGCCTATGCTTCACACGCATCCTTCTGGACCAATCTGATATGCAATTCCAAAGTTTCCAAGCAGACCCACCCCCCACCCAACCCCCCACCCCCTACCCCGAAGCCTGCCAGAAGAGGGAATCTGATGGCTGATCCTGCTCCTGATTCCGGGCAAGACCCAGACTTGCCTCAGACTTACTTGCAAGGATGGCTTTCCAGAAACATCTGAGAGGAGAATGTATCCTTGTTTCCCGAATAACCCAAAGGGCATGCCCTGCACTTCTGCAGTCTGAGTTGCTGACTGTGAAGGCAAGCCTAAGCCTTTAGATGTGTTTTCTTAGTGAGAGTTTTACCTTGGCCTTAGCCATTGTGGTCATTTCCTCATTTACAACAAGCCATCAGTGTTCTGAGAGGCAGCGTCAGCCCGAAGCCTGTCCATTCATTCCATTCACCACGGAAAATCACAGGCTCAAGTAATGAGCAGTCTAGAAAAAGATCAACAAACAGATGGACTTTCTGTGGCCAGAAAGTTCTGAGCCTGGAAGACCTCCCCCCAAGGAGACAGTGCTGCCCCAAGGGCTGCTGTGAGAAAGAGACAATGGTGGTCACATAATTGCTATTTTCTCCCAACATTTTATGTAGCAGGGAAGGCTATTTTAATGTGACTATGTGACCAATGACACAGTTTCCGTGGAAGAAAACATCAACATGTCTATTTTTCTGACCCACTAGCAACTGAGTTGCTTATGTAACTGTCCCCTTCCCATGTCTTTCAACTCCCATGTCTTAATTGGCAGGGCTTTAAGGCATTTTGCAGATCTCTCTGACAGTGTAAGGCATTACTCACTCTTTTGTGTGTCTGTGACCTTAATCCCTGACGGAACAGACTAAAGGGAGCAACAATTTGGGCTCACAGTTTTAGAGGGCTTAGCACCACCACGGTCTGAGGAGCCCGTGGACTTAGGCAGAACATGGCAGAACGGTGTGGAGGTGTTTGGTAGGCGTGTGTGTCTGTGTATCACCTGTGTGCCTGCTGCCTGCAGAAGCCAGAAGAGGGTGCAGGATCCCCTGGAACTGGAGTCATAGATGGTTGTGAGCTGCTGTGTGGGTACTGGGAACTGAACCTGGGTCCTGTGGAACAGCAGCCAGTACTAGTAATTGCTGACCCATCTGTCCACACCCTCAGATTACAACCCAACATACTCATTACAACCCAAAGGACTTCCTGTTATATCTGAAAATTTGTCAAACAGTGTCTTCCAGAGAGTATAGTGTAACAACCGTCCTGATAGTTTAAGAAAATCAATCCTGGGTTTCCATGTCCTGATATGACTCGTCTTCTTCACCCATTCTAAAAGGGGGCTAAAGTTATTCTTAGAAAATACCATTTTTAATAGATACCTGACTTCTTAATTTGAATGAAAATAGAAAAGACCTAAGAATCCTTCATTTAATTTGCAGCCTCAATCTTTAGAAATGGGGTGTGCTTCCAAGAAGGAAGATACATTTGGCCAGTCTTAGGGTTCATCAGCCGTGGCCAAAGCTATAAGCTCTCTTTGGTATTTGAACAGCAAGCTCTTCGTAAACCTCAGGCAGGGTCACCCTTCTGTCTTGGCGCAAATGCCCTCCTTTGATCTAAGTAGATTTTGTGCTCAGAACAACGTGTTACGGGAAGTTTTGTCCCAGCTGGTGCTGCTACCCTTCAACCCCAAATGAACACACAGATACTATATCCTTTATAAAATTGTTGGCCTATGGCTTGGGCTTCTTACTGGCTAGCTCTGCCTTAATTATTAACCCATTTCTACTAATGTAAGTATTTCCATGTGGTCTTATCTTACTAGAGAATGCCTGGTGTGTCCTTTCTTCTTGATCTGCTACATGGTGACTCCAGCTGCGTATATTTCCCAGAATTCTCCTCATCTCCTAGCCCTGCCTATACTTCCTGCCTGGCCAATCAGCCAATCGATGTTTTATTCATCAACCAATAAGAGAAACATATATACAGAAGGACATCTCCCGTCAACTACAGGTTTGTTACTGGGCAGGAGATATGGAGCTAGCCCCCATAAATTCCTACCCTTCCCAGACCCCAGGTTCACCAGCAGGCTGGCTGGTAGAATATTTGGAGCAAGAGTAAAGGTCAGGTCACTGGTTTCATGAATGATGGACAAGAGATGATCTCAATGAACAAGCATATTGGTTGACACAGTGAGGATACAAAATAATGTATTTAAAACAGCTGGAGAACGTATGTGCCTTGAAAGGGATAATTATTAAATATTTGGTTTAGCTTAAAAAATAATCAAGGCTCAGTGGGACATAGCCTCTTTCATCTACTGGAAATTTTATTTTGTCTATTGCTTAAACGGGGGGGGGGGCTAAAGCATTTGTCCAGCAGTGCACAAGGCCCTAGTTTTAATCCTCAGCACAACATGTAGCTCAGGTTGTCCTCAAACTCATTATATAGTCAAAGATGATCTTGACGTTAACTCTACCTTCCAGGTGCTGGGGTTGTGTGCATGAGCTGCCACACCTGATCTCTTAGGCCCTGGAGACCAAACCCAGGGCTTTGTGCCTGTGGGGCAGGCACTCTACCGACTGAACTACATCCTAGCTCAACCCACCCAAGCCTTAAAAGCGCAAGGAACTTTTATTCATCCACTCTTCAGTTGTGATTGTAATTCTGCATCTTTCCCACCTCCGAGGGAAAAGTTTACATTCTCAGCTCACTCTTGGAAAGACGCCTTTAGTATCTCCCCCGCACACTCCAAACAGGCATCTTCCCCAGGGTTGCAGAGCCCGTTGTTGACTGTACAGCAAGGAGCATCTCTGGAAAAGAGCCGGCTGGGGTGTGTGCTTGAAAATTACAGCAGCCTCGCTGTTGAGACCGAGGTAGTAAGTCTAAACTTGACCGAGGCAAGTAGCTTCATAAGACAAAATAAGAAAATAATGTACTGGTTTTTGGATCAGCCACTGATCTGGTTTGGACTTACTGCAGAATATCCCCAGGGTTTGCTGACATTTAATCCCCATTGAGAGGTATTAAGAGGGTAAAGTTTTAATCCTATTATGACATTCAGAGGTGGGGCCTTGGGGTGGTGTTAGGGTTAGACAAGGTCAGCCGGGTGGAGCTCCCACGAGTGAGCACTGGTGGCTTTATAAGAGACCATAAAACACACAAACCTGTCATTGGTCATGTGGTACCCTGCAGGAGTGCAGACTTCTCCAGATGTGTCCCTCAGCCTTGAACCTTCACAGCCATGAACAAGAATAAACGTCTCATATTTTATAAAGTAGCCTGTCTTAACGCATTCTGTTATAGTAAGGCAAAAGCGAACTAATCCAGTCAAATATGGACAGGAAGAGGGGAAGGGGAGTGTGTTGGACGGCACTGGGAGATCACCGTAGAGCTTGTGGGTTTGGTGTTCTAGGGAATGAAGGGCTACTGCCACATTCTGTGTGGTGCAGTAGGATAATAGAACTGTTCTGAAAACAGGTCATTCCAGCTGCAGAGAACAATGACTGCTGGAATAATAAGGAGACAAACTTGATGTGACGTCATCCACAGGAAACACACTGAAGTGATGTCACAGGGGCATGAGCATTTGAAAGCTTTACATTGTGAAATAACTTCAGACTTTTAGGAAGGAAGGCCATGCTGCATCCCAGCTTCCCCTGCACACCTGATATGTCCACAGGAGAGTCACTGACTCGTGGAACTCACTGGAGTTCAATTTTCTCGCTGCTACTGTTTGTCTGGTTCAAGGTCCATTCATCAGCCCACACTGTGCTTAGTTCTCTCTCTCTCCCCTCCAGTCTGTCCAGTCCCTCAATTTTTCATAACACTTTTGAAGAGCAATGGCCAATGACTTTGTGAAAGGTCCTCCAATTTAGGCTTACTTGTATTTTCGGTGGTTAGACTTAAGATGTGCGTTTCTTTATCCATCCTACTGAAATCGCCTGGCATTGCTAAATTAATTGCAGGTGATCCAGCTGGGAAAATGTCAGAAAATCCTGTTACTCCTTCTCCCATCTTGGCAGTCACTTCTTCCAGTCTCTGATTATTTTGATTCTTCCTTTTTTCATGTAGAGATTTCTGACCACTTCAGAAAGATGTTGGTCTCTCCCTTCTGTAATGGATGAGATAGCAATTCTCAGAATATCTCTTCTTTTTAATTATGAAAAACCCCAAGGTTGAGCTGATCAAAGGCTGCCTAGCTAGGCATCACAATTCCAGTCTTGTTCTAAATGATGTTGGAGGGGGCAGAGGAATTTCGGCTCACTGGCGGTAAAACCCCTTTCCCTGGACTTCCTCCTGAAGGCACCTCAGTCATAAGCACAAAGTCAACTAAAGAAGATCCTTCAGTATCCAGCTAAGCCATGAGAGAAAGACAATAGAGCCAGTCATTCTTATGAGGCCTGTTTTTCATAGTAGCTTATTTTGACATCCCAGACACTTAGAGTTAAGGCACCACAACCAGGAGATACTTACTCTCTTTGCACACATTACTTGAACATGTTACAGAGAGAGGGTAGACATTTCATGTCATAACTTACAATGTGCTTTCAAGGTGGGAACTTATGATAAGCTGTCTAATTCTGATTTAGAAGGCATGGATTGACAGAGACATGTGTAGGGGTGAGCCCACAATACAGTCCACCCGGCTTGTATATAAGTGTTTTCTCCTGTTAATAAAAATATGTTTCTCCATTGCATTGATTAGCTCCTCAGACATGGTATTGCTACTATCCTTCCTCAACACAAGGCAGATATCGACAACCCATCATGCACCCCTCTGCCACTCTTGGATTAAAAAACAACAACAAAAACTAAACACAAATAAACTTTCTCTGTCTCTAAGATGCCAGCAGCCATGAGATTATCTACTGGAACTCATTCAAAGTAAAATTCCCATGTGTCATCCTGGAGTTTCTATAATTTCCACAGAGACCCTTCCTTGTTGAGTAGAAGATCAAGCTTCCTACCGGGTAGAAATAATTTTAGCACTTTTCTGTAAGAAAGTGTATTCTAGATTTTTCCCTCTTCAGATTCGAAAAGAAATGAAGTGTAATGTGTAGTCTTCCTGCCAGCTGCTTGGGTCCCACTGCTGTCTCAGCCCCCAAATAACACAGAGACACTATATTAATTATGAAGCTATTGGCCGTTTGCTTTGATTTCTTATCAGCTAGCTCTGACTTAATTATTAACCCGTAACTGGTAATCTAAGTATTTCCACATGATCTTTTTACCAGAGAAAGGGTCTGGACCTCTTACTCCTCTGACATCCTGCATCTTGACTGACTGTGCCTCTGTTTCCCAGAATCCTCCTTGTCTCCTAGTCCCACCTATCTTGCTTCCCTATTGGCCAACAGTGCTTTATTTGTTAACCAATGAGAGACATATACACAGAAGGATTTCCCCCATCAATGAAGGACTGGGAAGAGCTCATTTCTCGAAGCACTTGCAGGGTGAGCACAAGGACTCGAGTTCAACTCCCAGAACCTGTGTTAAAAAGGTAGGTGTTGTGGGCATTTATAATCCCAAAGCTAGAGAGGTAGAGACAGAAAACTGCCTAGGACTCCCTGGCCAGCCAGCCTAGCCTACAGGGCAAGTTCCCAGCCAGTGAGAGACCCTGTCTCAAAAAAATAAGTATGGCACCCTGAGTTGTAGCAGCTGGGGATAAACTCTGGTCTCTCCACAGAGATGACCGCACCCCCCACACCTATATTCTACACCCCCCCATTCAATGAAATGTGTCTCTTACTGTATTTCTTTGGGCTTACCATATTTCTTCAGTTTTGAATTCTCGGGAGCTTGGGTTTACCTTTCCCTGAGGCTGTGTGCTGTCTCCCTTTGACTGGCTCTTTCCCTAGTGCCTGTCACAATGCAGGTGACATTACTTATGCCCTTGGCTGGATGCAGAGCTTGCTGGGGCAACAGCCACTGTGAGCTAAGGCAACAAACTTCATTCATTCCCCATGCGGAGGTCCCCCTCAGAATTTATTGAGGGACCGCAATGCCATCTCGCCACAGGCTCCTGAATTGGTTTGGGGTGAGGGGTGGTAATGAGGAGAGATGATGAGGGATTCAGGGCAGGAACCAGGAGTCAGACACCAGGTCTCAGATGGTAGTCTAAAGCAATTCACATGGCTACACCTCGCTTCCCCGAGCTGAAAGAAAGAAAGCAGGGACATAGTAACAGTCACTGCAGAGTTCAGGTAGCATTTGTGAGTGGATATTGCAACAGCCATCCCCCCTTGGCCAAGCTCCGGACAGAGTCTCAAGATACTCAAACTTTTCCCTGTATCTTGACAAAAGCCAGACAGGGAGACAGTTCCTGCTGAAGAGCAGAGTCTTAGGCCAAGAATATGAGTTATCATCACAGCCTGGTTTCTCCCACCAGAAGGGAATGCTTTGCTTCTGCTAAAGGAAGACTCTATCCCTTGAGCATTCAAAAACAATAACCCTGAAATGTGAAACAGGACTGACTTTAGACATCTAGACAATGGGTGCAGATGAGCTTACTCTCTGGGGGGCTCAGGCCCTCTCTTTCTTCTTGTAAAAATCTAAACGAGCCGGAATTTTCCTTTTAGGAAAATGTTTAGACCAAATGCAATGTAGCTGTGCCCATTGAACTTGAAGCGCTGGACATTATTCACGGAAGAGACACCATTTTCCTTCTGTGTTGCAACTCTGCTCACAGAATAGACGCCTGCCCACGAGCATTTCTGGTTGAAATTGACTTTGCCTTATTTTTTTCTTTAAGAAATGATTGGGCTGGAGAGATGGCTCAGTGGTTAAGAACATGTACAGCTCTTGATTCCCAGTGCCCACATCAGGGGAGCTCACTGCCTGTGATTCCAGCTCTGGGGAGTGGGGGTGGGGAGGGTGTCTACTGAGGCACCCTCAGGCACCCATATTCACGTAACCAATATACAGACACACGTGTGCCAGCCCCCCCAGCACACACAAATTAAAAGTGATTTTTAAAAAGTCAAACTATATATGTATTGGGTATGTATATTGGTACATGTCTATAATCCCAGCACTGGGGTGGGGGGCAGGTGTGTAGAATGATCAGAGGTCCAATGTGCTCATCAGCTATCTAGGATTTACAGCTTAGGTTACCCTTTCTCAAAACAAACAACATGCTGGCTAGTTTTCTTAGCTTGACACAAACTGGAGTCACCTGGGAGGAGGGAACCTCGATTGGAGAAGCACTTCCATCTGACTGGCCTGTAGGCGCGTCTGTGGGCGGGTGGGTCTGTAAGGTATGGGAAAAGCAGATGAACATGAGCCAGTAAGCAGAGCTCCTTCATATTTCCTTCCTCCCTGACTTCCCTCAAAGACCGACTGCGATCTGAAAGGACAGATTAGCCAAACCAACTGTCTCTTCCTTGCATTGCTTTTGGTCATGGTGTTACTACAGCAGGAGAAAGCAACCCGGGACAGAAGCTGGTCCTAGAGAGTAGACTATTGCTGGGAAATGTTCTTTTCTGGGAGGGTTGTAGAAGTTTTCGGGACTCTTGAGTGCTTGGAGCTTCCCTTAACAAGCTGTTAGGGGAAGATTAAAAAAAAAATGTTGAGAGAGATGGAGACGATGGGAGACTGGCTTGTGAAGTTTCCAAGGGAAGCAAAGGCTCTCTCGGGGGCCATTTGTGAAATATGATTTGAATTAAGACTATGTGGACGAGGAGCCTTTGCTTTGCTAGGGCAATTCAGCGCTGAGGAATAAGCTGAGGTTAATAAACCAACATCCCTGAGTGGGAAGTCTTCTGGGAAGTGTTTCCTCAGGGTCAGCACATAGAAGCTGTGATCCAGGGGTGCGTGGGGGCCGAGGGGGCAGCTCAAGATGGCAGTGCAGTTGGGGATGCATTACTGTTAAGTAAGCTCTCGTATTGCATTTCTTTCTCTCTGTTCTTGACCGTGATGCGATCTGACCCGTTGCTTCCTGGGGGGCGGGAGTCTGCTGCTGTGACTTCCCCACAACACTGGGCTAGAACTGAGAATGTGAGCAAAAACTCAACCTCCACCAAGTTGCTTTTTTTTTTTTTTTTGACAGGCTATTTATTGACAGCAACAGAAATGAAACACATGCCCGACATCATTTAGAAGACAGAGGCGTTCAGTTCAGAGCACTGAAGCCACAGGGATTAGTTCTCCTTCAGTCAGTAGGGTTCTTTCCCTGTAGGGCCTGCAGGTCTCAAGACAACAGGAGCTTTCCTTATGGAATAATATGCCTGCCTCTGCCTCCTGGGAGCCGGGATTTGCAGCGGGCGTCGCTGTGACTGGCTATTTCTGCTTTTAAATGATCCCCAACCTTGACTTTCATCACTATAAATTTAGATCTTTATACCTTGTTTATTCATCTGTTTTTTGAGACAGTGTATCCTGTTCTATGGGTGTCCTGAGTTTTCAGTTACAGGTGACCTTGAATTTCTAATCTTCTTGCCTTCTCTTGAGTGCTGGGAGTAGAGACACCCATGCCTTGATTGTTTGCTACTTTGTGTGTCTAAGCAAGCACTCTACCGGTTTAGTCATCTAGACCATGGTGGGAGGAGTACCCACCTTTATGGGTGGGGTTGACAGCAGAATTTCTTTTTCAACCCCTCTTCACCTTGTTTTCAGAGTCAGGGGACTCTCACTGAACCTAGAGAGCTCACTGACTGTCTAGATTGGCTTGCCAGCAGAGCTACCCTGTTTCCAACCCTCAGTGCTGGGGGAGCACCGCACCATGCCTGGCTTATTACAGAAGTGCAAGCATTTTACTCACAAAACCTTCCCTCACCCACTTTTTTTAAAAAAAATCTTTTAAAATTTAAATTAGAAACAAGCTTGCTTCACATGTCAATCCCAGCTCCCTCTCCCTCCTCTCCTCCCCAGCCCCCCCCACCAGTTTATCCCCCAACCCCCCATCCAATCCCCACTCCGCTCCCCAGGGAGGGTGAGGCCCTCCATGGGGCATCTCCAAAGTCTGTCATATCATCAGGACCAGGGCCTAGGCTGTCCCCTATGTGTCCCCCTCCCCCATTATTTTTTTAAATCAATGCTTATCACTTGGCTTTAAACAGTGTGAAGGCAGTGTATAATTTTCCAAGTGTGGGTGATAGAGAGTTTGGCTTTAGGGTCAAGCTGACTGAGTGTTGTTTGCAGTCTCCACTCTCACTGTGGTAGTCTGTCTTCTCGGGGACACGGCTATCCTCTCTGCACCTCTGTTTTCTGACCCGTAAAGCAAGAATAGAATATGCCTTAGCTTCTGTTCTGGGAATGGGAGAGAAGATGCGTGCGGTGGGTGTTCTCAGTAAATGCACTGCATCAAATAGGCATCCCCAGATGAGGATGGAGGTGTGGGGAGGAAGGACTCTCTTGGGTCTTGCTTTCTGCATCTTGTCCGTGTAGAGCTGACACGGGTGGTTCTCAACATATAAGGGAGGAACAGCTACGCTGGGGGATGTCCTTCTGTATGCCTTGAATATGTGTTTCTCTTGCTGGTTGATGAATAAATCTGTTTTGGCCAAGGAGACAGGCAGATTGTAGCCAGGCAGGAAGTATATCTAGGTAGGGCAACCACACTAGGAGGGTCCTGGGAAGAGGAACTCAGAGAGTGAGTTGCCAGAAAGACACCATGCAGCTGCTGGGAAAGCAAGAAGCCCAGGCATGGCCAGTAAGCCAAAACCACGTGCAGACACACAAATTAATAGAAATGGGTTAATAATTAAGGGACAGATAGCCCCAATAAGAAGCCTGAGCCATTGGCCGAATAGTTTAATAGTTAATATAAGTGTGTGTCTATTTGGGACTGAAAGCCGATGGGACCCGACTGGTTGGAAACTTCTGCCTACACAGATAATCTTTACTGCCACCTTGACTAGACTAGAGGTGCCTGGGAGATGCCTCTGGGTGTGTCTGTATGGCTGTTTTCAGACAGGCTCATGCCACAGGCTGGGGTCCCTGGTTGAATAAAAAGTAGAAAGTGTGGCAAGATAGATGACTTAGTGGTTGAGTGCTTGCTTCTCTTCTAGAGGATCCAAGTTTAGTTCCCAGCACCCATATTGGGCAGCTCACGATCACCTGTAATTCCAGCTCCAAAGGGGGAATCTGACATCCTTGTCTGGCTTCTGGGAGTACCTGCAATCACACACACACCCCCACCCCCACATATACCCACATAATTTAAAATGAAATCTATCTTAAAACAAAAAAAGCAGAAAGTGAGCTGAACTTGGACACTCATCATTGTTTTCTGACTGTAGATGCCGGGTGTCCAGCTGCCTCATGCTCTCCCGCCCCATGCCTTCCCGGCCATGATGAACTACATTGTTTCAAACCATGAGCCAAAGCAGAATGTTTTGTCAAGCAATTGGCCACAGCAACAGGAAAGCAACCAGCAAAGTATGGCTGTGTCCACAGCTCCTGCCACAGAACAAGCCAGAGCATTTCTCGGTTCTTATGCTCTTCTTTTTGTTTGTTTTTTGTTTTTGTTTGTTTTACGAGACAGGGTTTCTCTGTGGCTTTGGAGGCTGTCCTGGAACTAGCTCTTGTAGACCAGGCTGGTCTCGAACTCACAGAGATCCTCCTGCCTCTGCCTCCCGAGTGCTGGGACTTAAAGGCATGTGCTACCAACACCCAGCTGTGATTATGTTTTATTGCTATTGGTTAATAACGAAGCTGATTTGGCCAATATCCAGGCAGGATAGAGCCAGGCGGGAAATCCAGGTGGTGTCTGGGAGACCCCATCCAGTTACTGAAGGAGAAAGAAGTCTGAGCGTCACCAGCAAGCCACAGCCAAGTGGTGACACACAAATTAAAAGAAATGGGTTAATTTAAGTAGTAAGAGCTAGTTAGTAAAATCTTGAGCTAATAGGCCAAACAATAGTCATTAATATTAAGCCTCAGAATGGTTACTCTAGAACCGGTGGGGGGGGTGGGGAGACAGAGAGAAGAGAGAGAGAGAGAGAGAGAGAGAGAGAGAGAGAGAGAGAGAGAGAGAGAGAGAGAGAGAGAGAGAGAGAGAGAGAGAGAGAGAGAGAGAGAGAGACCTCCAGCTACGACACATGGTTGTGAAAGGCCATGTTGGTGCTGGGAATTGAACCAGGGTCATCTGAAAAAGGAGCCCATGCTTGTAACCACTGACCCATCTCTCCAGCCCTGCATGCTATAACAACACTCCACAATACCTTTTTAAATTGTTGTGTAACAGACATCCTATGCTCATATAGACTGGAACCAACCAGCTCTGATGGTTGGACCTTTGAATAATTTCCAGTTTTTTTTTCACAATTTTAAGCCTCACACCTGCCTTTAACTACTCTTCTCAGGTTGCTGAGACCTTTATAGGATGCTGGGCAGGAGAAACACAGGACAGTTTACAATTCCAGTGCCACACTGATGCTCCAATTTCAAATTTAACCAAGAAAGTCGGGAAATATACACAGCTGAGGGAAAATCCTAGGTATCTAATCGGTGGTTGAGTTAGAAGATAAGATTTTCTGAAAACTATAGCGAATAACCAAGCCAGTGTTGCAGAAAATGGAGATCTGTGAACAGACAGCCAGGGTAAGCATATTAATGAAATATAGAGTGCTCACTGTCCAAGCCTGCGGACCTGAGTTTGGATCGCCTCACACCCATGTAAAAGTTGCCTGTGACAGAATGCACCCATAACCCCAGTGCCAGGGAGGTAGAGACAAACAGATTCTGGGGACGTGGTGGCTTGCCAGTGTAGCTGAATCAGTAGTGACTCGAGGTTCAGGGAGTGACCCTTTAATGCTTATTCTTGGTTGCCAACTTGACTGTTTTTGGAATTAACTAAAACCCAAACAGCTGGGTACACCTGCAAGGGATTTGTTTTTCTTAGTTAAATCATTTCAAGTAGGAGGACCCACTTCTAATCTGGATCTTTGAGATGGTAAAACAAATCTTTAATACAGATCTTTTGAGGTAGGAAGATACAACTTTAATCTGAACCACACTTTCTGCTGGCAGCCTATATAAAGGACACTCTCCCCTAGATTTGTGGGGGAAAGGCAGTAAGAGGCAGAAATGATAACTGTCTACCAACCAATAGATAAGACAGCAACTTGATAAACCAAATCAGACTTCTGACACATTCAATTCCAATCTCTGAGGGCCACTTTCTGGTTGAATTCCAGGTTCTGGAAGTGTGGCTGCTTTCTTTCATGGTAGCTGGGAGCACAGATAAGCAACTTGAAAAGGGAGAGTTAGGGGCTGGGAGATGGACCAGGGGGTAAGATCACTTACAAGTGCTCTCTCTTGCCCTCCCTAGCAAGTCTGTCCCTTCACTGACATTACAGCCTACTCCTTTGGAATTCCAGCGTATACTGAAGACTGAGACATACATCCTTGTGGACTGAACAACTACCGGATTTTTTTTAGACCTTCCACTCATAGGCAGGCATTGTTCTAATAGGCAGGAAGGTCTAACATAGAAAGAGAGTCATTCTATAAGTCTGTTACTCTAGAGAACTCTGACTATGCAGACCCTGTGTCCAAAAAACAAAACAAAACAAAACAAAAAACCCAGGTAGAGAACAATTGCTTAAGACATCCCTACATCAACCCCTGCTTACTCTACACCTATGCATGGCTGCGGGGAGATGGGACCCCCACACAAGTATGCATATCCACATAAAAGGAAAAAAAAAGAAAGCTATTAATGCTTGAGTCAGTGAACTGAGACTAGAGTTGAACAGGTGTTTCAGACAGCCTCATCGGTAGCCCAGGTTGGCCCAGAACTTTGCCTCAGCCTCCCAGAGTTCTGCAATCTCAGGTGTGAGCCACCACGCCTGCTCAGCCCCAACACAAAAGCAAGTAAGGGCCTAGAAGCTCAGCCCCAGAGAACCCCACAGGAAGTCTCTTACTAGTGAGAAGGCAGGCACTGTCCTTACCAGCATCCTTCCACTACTGGAACAGGGAGCAGTGGCCAGCAGAGGCTTGTTGGGGGGGTGAGGGAGACTGCCCAGGTGCTGCTCAACCCTGCAGCCTTACTCAATGTTATCTTATCTGTAACAGATAAGATAAGGTAAGAGACATTAAGCAACTTGCCCAGAAGGCACCATAAGGGTAGTCAGCAATAAGACTTGGCTTAAATCCAATTTAAAGGGTGTGGCGCCCTGGCTGCTCCCATCCCCCAAGCCCATGAATTCTGGCTGGCAGCTGCAAGGTAGTGAGCTCAAAGAGAGGGATTCACAGCTCACTATAAACAAAGGACTCCTGTTGTTGAGAGCTATCTGCTCATTGTCACACTATTTGTGGTCACCTGCTGGTGTGGTGTCTTTACAAATAACTAATGAGCATTTGTGGGGGAAAAGCAGTAAGAAGCAGAAATGACAA